CAGTTTGCTCGGCTAACTCTCCTTTGTAATTTGACTATCACTTTTCATTCAGATATGATTAATAAAAAAAAAAGAGGCAAAATAAACTTCCTAGGTAGTTAGGATAGGTATGAACTGTCAAAGTTTTCGATTCTTTCAGAGTAAACCACTCACAAACAAGTTTACAAAACCTAGCGTAATCTTCTKGTTAATATGTAGCCGACTCCCCTAAATTTTAATCTAATCTCATTGATTCTATGWGAAGATTAGAAATCTCCATGGAATGCATTGTCTGAATTATTATTAGGAAAGACAGATTATGAATCAGAATATTAATAATAACTTCAATTGAGAACAGATTCAGAGTGCATTTAAAATAAGGCAGTGATTCATACAAATTAATTCATATCCRTTAAACATCTACATCTGGTCTAATAGGTATCTTCTGAATAGCATCAAGAGATTTCTTTAGAACAATAGTAATCTGTTGTTCACACTTGAAAGAGGTAATTGTTTCAGAAAAATAGTATTCACCTTAGTTCATACCAGTGTGCTATACTATCTTTTTTTAAAGCTTATGGCTAAAGATACAAGTGAATTCTTCCTTGATTTACAGAAACGCCTATAGGCATCTTGTTCTTCAGGCACAACAACAGTTGCTCTTAATCACATTAAAATGGTATCTGTTGGTTTTTTTTTTTTTTTTTTTTTTTGGTTGGTTTGTTTTTCAGCAGTTCCACAGCTAGGACTAAAAATAACCAAGTGCATGACTCTTCCTTTTCTGTTTCCACAGAAAGCAGAGTAAGTTAGTTTCAGTGAGTGTTTTAGTGTGACAAACTTTTTTAATGCACACTGAAATGAGCTGCAGCACTAACAGGGTCATAAACCCCTTTATTGGGAACAAGGAGGATAAGCAAATAGCTTCTTGCACCACTCAGCTTAGTTACAAGCCAACCAATTGTCAGTCAACAGCAGAGAATCTCCAAAGACTCAGCTCCATGAGAGTTGTCGGTGTGTTATTACAGGATACAGACAGGCACCGCCTTGTTCACACTGACAGGCAGCCCTTWAACATGACACAAAAGAGAGTCTGCCATGGATTTCCTCTGAACTTTTCAGGAGGGAAGACTACAGAAATGTAGGGAAATAATACCCAAGACATAWATCATCCACAAGGTTAATAATTCCTTTGAGTATGTAATTCATAATTGGTCTCAGAAATCTAAAATTTACAAGCCATAAAGCCAGCTGTAATTTAAAACTCAAGACAACTAAAGCTAAAAACATCTCGTTCAGCTGGTGATTTTCATCCAGGGCATTAGTTAAACAATTTAAGATATATGAAACATAAATATTTGCAAGTAAGCTATAAATAAGCTTACAGCACACTATTCAGAACTACAGATCATTGTATCGGGTTGAATTCTCAAGGATTAATTTCCTTTCCCTTTCCCAGCTTTTCATAATATTAGTGCTCTACTATTTAACGTTTCATTTACTTTTGTTTAAAAGCCAAATTCACCTCTTTGTGAGTGCCATTGAAATTTCTTATTGAAAATAGTTGAGGAGGCTCAACTACTCYCAAATGCAACTGAGGATTTCACAGATCTGTGGGATTTTTACCACATTTTTCAGATGGGTTTGCAGGTCAATTCAGCCAGGTTTCTTTCAGCCTCAAAAGAATATTAAAAAAAGAAACTGAAGACAGGTTAACCATTCTGAAGGACAATTTACTGAACAAGARTTAGGTCAGATGCAATACTAAAACATGTTCATGCAAACAGTAGAGGTCATTTAAATGTATARAGAAACTTCATTATTTAGACAAAATCATCACAATTTCATTTTCTAGAGTTTGTACCATATTTCTAACTTCCATGTTACTTATTTGGAAAGTGACTTTGAACTGGACAGCTTCACTTTCATTTACAGGCTTTTTTCCTTACTTAAAAAAAAAAAACAAAAATAAAAACAAAAAAAAAAACACTGAGGTGGAGCGGTGGTGGCATTTTGTTTTGGTTTGTTGTTGTCTTGGTTTTGGTTTGGATTTTTTTTGTTGGTTTTTTTCCTTTGTTTTAATTTAATTTAATTTAATTTTTAATAAACTGTGAAGATGTAATTGCATATTCCTGAAAAAGTTAAGTTTCTAAGCCCTGCTTATATGTTGAAAAATTCTTTAGGGTTTTAAAACTCTTGACAGTAACTTAAAACCATATGCTTTATGATATGAGAGATCAAGAATTGTCTTGTTAGAGCTGAAATCATTTATGATGTTTTCCTATTCAAAACATGACCTACTTTTAAAAGAAATTTCATAACATTGGGAGTAGGGAAAATTAATCACAGATATCTGATGATTTTTTTCTGATGAAGACATAAAACATTCCAATGCTTATTAGGACACAAAACAATTTTTCTTCAAAACTTTACTCAGGGTCTAGAAACAAGTGATTTTCCCACCCACAYGAGTAGACAAGTAAGAGCACTCATGAATATTTTGTTTTCTCTGGGTCAGAGCATATCCCTTTGGCTTGTTCAAGTACTCTGATATATTTGTATCAGAATGAACAATTCTGTTATGCAGAGATGTTTTCAGTTTTATCAGAACAGCTTTAGAATCCATATCTTCTATAATTAARTCTTAAAAATATATTCCTTACAAAAAGATGCCAATTTGGACATTTATATGTAATTATTCTTATTTTTCTCTAACCAGTCTAGTATTTTAACACCATCTCATGTCTTTCAAGAGCTCAGGGACTGCTTTGTGAGATTTAATGCTGTAAGATAGTATCCTGTGATGACTCCAACTCCACTAAATCATCCTGGAGGGAAATGAACTAAGGAATAATCCATCTTTTTTCTTTTTTGTTAACTAATTGTGACTTTAACCAGGATTCCACAGTTACTTGAATGGTCACATAAATGAAATAAATCATAAAGTATCATCTGTGGTATCCGAGACATCACCTAAATTCATAGAGAAACATCTCTGCTTATTCTCTCAGTGCCCACTCACTGTAGGCCACTGTAGCTCCACTTAAAGAGAAGAATTTGTATAAGTGGTGATTACTCAGCCTGGCTGAAGGGAAGTTGACTCCCTTTAGCAAAAATGGATACCTACAAAAGTTATAGAGAAACCTTCAAGGCAACTGAAAATACATGAAAAAAAAAAAAATCAAAACAATAGGAACTTCCTTGACAGTTCCTTCCTCGTATTCCTCTAGTAATATCATTGACAATGAATAAGAACTGGTTTGCAAAAAACCACATTTAACCCAATATAAATCAGACCTAGATTACTTAATCAGCATGAGCAGAGAATCAAGCTGTTCAGGGAGAATAATTTTAATTATTCTGGAGAATAATAAACCAGTCAATTAAAGATCATTTTATGCATTAGAAGGAGAATAGGAGTGAATAGAGTAGGTGAGACATTTAAACAGGATGCCCCAGGGAGTTGTGGATGTCCCATCTCTAGAAATGTTCGAGTCCAGGTTGGATGGGGCCCTTATCAACYTGCTCCACTGGGAGGTTCCCTGTCTGTGGTGGTGGCACTGGGACCAGATGATCTTTAAGGTCCCTTCCACCCTTCCACCCCAAACAAATCTATGAATCTATGATTACATGAATACCAAATTTTTACACTTCAAATGATTCTGAATATCTACCCCTCTCAGCATTGGAGTAAATTACATTGATTTAAGCCTGTTCAATAACAGCTTCTTGAAAGTATTCATTTTCAAATGATTTCTTTTTAACATTTACCCAAGGTTAACATTCGTATTTTACATTTAAGGTGAAAGGGTGGCCTCAATTCAAAAGTGGCTACATAAAAAAAAACACCCACAGACATATAATTTTACATTTTTCACTATTTTTTGTAGACCCCTCTGGAAGTGATATGACTAGTTCTATTGATGATATGAAATACATTTTGGAAATCCATTTATCTTCACTTTATTATGCAAAGAACTTCATTCAGAAACAGAAAAGTAAATTTTCTATCACAGGAAATCTAAACCAAGAACAAGGAGTCTAGCTAAATGATAATTTATAGCAGAGTCTGCTTCATAAAATGTTTTTAAGCATCACAAACAAAATGCAACTATCTGGATACTCAGGAGGAAGTCTATTGGTACTGTTTGCTACATTTGCTTATTAAACCTATCAACATTGCTTTCGAAATTTGACCCTTGGTTTTGATTGCTGAAGGATGATGCACAGTGCCTCACACCATCCTTTAAAATTGCCTTTAAAATAATGACAGACTGAATATCTTTGTTCAGCATCAACAAATCATAGTATCAAAAAATATATTTCATTGCATCAGAATAATAACAATACAACTAAGAACACACTTTTTCTTATCCCACCTTCAGGTATTTTCTGAAGGAAGTTAGGATTATACAACTCATTATTGAGTTGCATAACTTATGAAAATAGAAACAGTGGGAAAACACTGCTTTCCAACAAAAAAAAAATGCAGTATGAACTTCTGCAAACTCATAACAATATTTTCATGATATTGTCCATAATGTCAATACCCACTAAAAGGTACCAAAGTTTTAGCAGTTTATGTCATTGAATATGCATTTGGCAAAGTAATATAAAAAAGGCTTTCAATAGTAAAATAGTGTAATCTGTGAAAATTCTACATTTACACTAATCTTTAAATCAAAACTAAGAAATAATTATTTAACAAACTGTCACTTAGAAAATTTAAAAAAACTTACCTGGTTATGGTAAATAAGAATTCTACTACATTTGAAAAAYAAGTTATGTTGAATGGGATGCTCAAAGTAATACTACACAACAGTAACAAAACACATCAAAGAGAAAAATCTAGCTACATATAACTTAGCCATATAGATCAAATAATGTTTTCTGATCTTCAGTACTTTTGCTGGGCATTTCATATTGTTTTCCTCCTTACCATCAGCATGATAGTAAATCATACTCTGTTCCTGAAGAGATTGATAAAAATTAAACATTAAACCCACAAGCTTAAGAYCCCTTACCCTCTGAGTTTTCTGGGCTCCTCTTGCTTCTCAGTGTAACAGACACATGTGTAAACAACAGAATTTCCTGCATCCTTTTCTCATCTGCACTGTACTGGGACTTGGCCAATTGGATTATTTACAGCATTAAGGCCACTCCACAGTGACTTGAAAAAGATTCTCATTGGTCAGGCATTATCAAAACTAAAACCACATTTTGCTTTTAAGTGTACAAGTCATTTATACAAAATAAAACTYTTTGCCATGCTGTTCTTCACTAAATATTACTTTGTTCAGTTTTTAATGCTCCCTTTCTAAACTGAAGAATGTGTCCCCAGTCCCCCAAATATTATGTATAAGATGAAATTAGTTGTTTGAATCACAGTACTTAAGTAGAGGTTGTAGTACTCAACCAAATTGRGTGCATTCTTATGTCACTGCTTGCTCCTACTATACCTCCTGAGTTTTAAATAACCTATAATAATACTAMTTTTTTCACTCAGCTATATGATATCACCTTGAAAATACATGTATTTTAATAATCAACTCAGCAATTAACCAGGGGCTCTTGGAAATAATCTATGAAAAATTTAATATTCTAGATTATCACAGMGATGAAAAGTCCATGGCAAGAGAAGTCATGGAAAATCCCCAAAACTTTGTAAAGATCTTTTTGGAGTAAAATTTATAGTTACATATTAAAATAGAAGGTAAGAAATATTTCTTTCAGGAATACAAGCTMCAACATTTTTGTTACCAACATGGCAAAGAATGACACCACTGTCCCAAGCCTGGCATCACATGCCACCTAATTGGCAGGTCCTCAAGACATTAAATTGATATAGTCAGACACAGCTGGAATGATTTGTCAGAGCTGTGAAAAGCTGAATATTTCTCATTTAAAGAAATCCCTCATAATGTATAGAATACTGACAACTCCCATGTCACAATCTCAGACTGAGAAGCCAGATTTCCTTTAGCTTCAAGGGACATATCTCTACTTCCCTGCTAACATCCCAATTTTAGCAGCATTATAGCAGGTACTCTTTTCATTGTGAATAGTAGCTACATCTGCATGACTCTTCCCTTGTCTGACACTTGGATTTTTAAATTTTGTTTTACAATTTATTTTAGGGAAATGAACAAGCAAATCCTCCCACTCTTCTGTGACTCGCAAAATCTATGCAATTGTCAGAAGACAAAAGACATTGTCTTCAAAAAGATAAAATACAAAGAGGTCAAAAAAAAACCTCCCTATACATTTCTTTTAAAAACCCAAACCAAACAAATAAAAGCCACAGAGCAAAGCAAAAAACCCCGAAAACCCAAAGCAAAAAAATGACTCCACACAAAACAACTCCAAACTGAAGTGAAAAAACCCCAAACAAACCTAACACCACAACAAAATGAAACCACAAGTCTGTATCAAATTAAAAACAAACACACACACAAGAAAAAACCCCAGCCCAATGAAACCCAAATCCAAACAACAAAATAAAGCAACAGCTACTTTATGCATCTTGCATGGCTTCTTTAGCAACTGCAGAGATCCCATCTCCCACTAGAGTACTCTCTGGCTACATTCCACTACCCATAMTGAAGGAAATCTCTGCACATTTTAAAAATCAAGTTATATACACATCATAACTTAGACTTCTAGCTACTCACATTTCAAGCCTTTCAGGAGATTCACTTTCCACCATTCTTCACTTGCTACCATTGCCAAACACATCCAAGAAGGCTGTTCCATTGTCCATATTCAAACAAATTCTCAGTTTCTAAAGAAATTGATGGACATTTATTTTGTTTGAAAGGAAGGGAAGTAACTTCAATCACAATAAAAATGTCCTCGCAAGTGAAGATCTATAACAGAGATTTTATTATTAAAAAACAAATAAACACAGAGCAAAAAGTGTCATTACAGCATGTGAAGGAACTAGTACTCCTGGAAGTGTCATTTAACTATCTTTTGGGAAGGAAAATTGTAGTCTTCAAGAAAAAAGGCACAAAAATACATAATRGACCAATAATAAATAGTAAAACTATAAACAAAACTCAGCTTCTATTCTGTTGCATTCTGTTGTAATCCGCAATTCTTGGAGGAATCTGGATTTTATGCCATTGTTAAAGGTGCATCGAAATTGCATTTAAAAAAATACTGTAAATTTGAGAAGTTACCATGCTATTTTCATATCTTTATTTGCAAATATATTCTTCCTTTTTATTCTCATTTAACCATTGACCATTGTGTCACTGCAGAACAGATATTGTCAACATGCAAGTTTGTCAGCATRTGACCATCAAATACAGAATTGTCTCCCTGGAGGTCTCCATGTATGTACACAATTCTTACTTCCTATCAAGAACTTGCACGTGATCATTAAGGGAATGATACTCTGGTCATTATTTATGTAAGAAAATGGTACTGAGAGAATAAGATAAAGACTATAGACAGCATCAATAATCTAGAACATATGTTTTCATGTATGGCCTCAGTTGTCAATTGTGCTGTTGCTCTCCTGATTAGAGTGGAATAGATTCCCTTCTCTTTGAGTACATTTGCACCTTGGCAGCATGCCTGACCTGCTTTTTCCAAGTTCCATAGAGAAACATTAAGAAAACATGAAAGCCAAATTTTGAATTTTTAAATGTCAAGACTCATCCCTTTGGGGTCACAAAGGAAGAGACCTGATCCTTTTCAGGATTACTGAGCCAATGAAGAAGATTAAATAATTTGTCTCAGAGGAAAGTTAGAGCAAGTTTTTCTCAAAACATGGAAGTTTACAATATTTACTGTGTTGATGCAATTTCCTTAGCAGATATAAGAAATTATCATTCAAGCCAAAAACAATAAAGCACTTCAAATACAAATGGCAATAAAATGGAACATTCCTACTATTGAAATTGGAAAATAGAGAGGGTATGAAGCACTAAAATTGTAACCTTTTGAAACTGGACTTCCTCAAGTATTCTAAAAAAACACATACATATGCCAGTTCTTTTTTGTTGATGGAAATAATTGTTAATCTTACTATTTCATATTATTCCACACAATTTCATACAAGTGAAAAAATAAACATCACATTGGATTTCAATATATAAGGATAGGAAGTCATCCTTTATTGTAGCTCAACCCAGACACTCTCCCTCAGGTGATGAAGACCCAGAAAGGACAATTTGATGTAGAGGGTACCTTCAAGGCATGAAGAAGGAGAAAATAGAGGCAAAAAAGCCCTACAACTTTGAATCCTATTTCTGCTGCAGCATTGGGCAAAGACCAAACTTATATAACAAAAAAAGCAAACCTGTGAAGATAGAAATAGCTACAGAAGAGATAAATCAATTAAACTAAAAGACCAAAACTGAGACTCCACCAAACTTGTTGTGGGAAAACATAATGTGGTTCCATTTGYTAGAAAATCTAGCAAAAAGACAGAGATAAATTATTTTCTAGAATCTCACTCTAAAATTAGAAATGGAAGAAAGAGATAACATTCTACTCCAATTTTCTTTTAAGTTCTAGCACATTCCAGCCAAGCAATCTTAGCAAAGCTTTGCTTTCATAAGGTTTAGATAGTGTGCATGTGGAGAGGAGCCCTACAGGGATGGCTTCTGTTGGAAGCTGCCAGAAACTTCAGCAAGAGCCAAGATGGACCCATTGCTGACTGTGGCTAAGCCCATCAGTGATGGTGGTAGGACTTCTGGAATAATGTGGGTAAGGGAAAAAAACCCCACCCTGCACAACAGCAATTGCTGAAGAGAGGAGTGAGAATATGTGAGAGAAACAGCCCTGCAGACAGCAGGGTCAGTAGGAGACACAGGAGGTGCTCCAATTACTAAATCAGAGATTGTCCTGCAGCCTGTGGTGCAGACCATGGTGAGCAAGCTGTGCTCCCGCAGCCCATAACAGTCCATAGTGGATCAGAGATCCATCTCTAGACTGTGGGGAACCCAGTGTTGGAGTGGTGGATGCCCAAGGGAGGCTGTGACACAGGGGAAACCATGGACTGCGGCAGGATCTTGGCAGGACCTGTGGYCCTGTGGAGAGAGGAGCCCATGGTGGAAAAGGTTTGCTGGCAGGACTCGTGACCCCACAGGGGATCCACTCTGGAGCAGCCTGTTCCTGCAGGACTGCAGCCTGCAGAAAACACTGACACTGGAACAATTTGTCACAAACTGCAGCCAATGGAAGGACTCATCTTGGAGAAGTTCATGGAGATCTGTCTCCCATGGGAGGAGCCCCATACTGGAGCTGGAGAAGAGTGTGAGGAGTCCTCCTCCTGGGAAGGAAGGAGCAGCAGAAACAATGCATGATGAACTGACAGCAGCCCCCATTTCATGTCCCCCTGTGCTGCTTGGGGGAAGGACACAAAAAATTCAAGAATAGTTAGTATTAAGAAGAAGGGAGGCGTGGGGGTAAGATATTTTAAAAATTTAATTTCACTTCTTATTATGTTATTCTGATTTGGTTGGAGAGAAACTAAAATAATTTCCCCGAGACTCTTTTACCCTGGCAGCAATTTGCTGAGTGAGCTCTGCCTGTCCTTAACTCATGAACCTTTCATTGCGTTCATGAACATTTTCATTGCATTCATGAACATTTCATTCTCTCCCCTGTCCAGCTGCAAAGGGAAATGATAYATTGGCCTTGGTTGGCATCTAGTGTCCAGCCAGAGTCAATCCACCTGAGTAGGCTCCATGCAGGCAGGATTTWATGGATAAAGCTATTTATGCATGTAATACCTCACTCCTAGCTAAGTAACTTTAAAACAGAACATAAAACTTAAAAGCAACATCGAATAGCAGTCTTTAAAAAAAAAAATCTTAGTTTTATCCTAGCATAGTGACAAAATATAATAGGAAGAATTTTATCTAGGGCTAATATTTTGCTCAGTTTTTTAGTTTTTTAACAGTTTCTATTAGTTCTAGCTTCACCTGTGTAAGTTAATTTGATTCACAAGTGCAAACAGTGATAGCAGATAAATGTAGACAATTTATCTTGTACAGATCTATGCTGGTGATTGAGCTTCTTTTTGCTTATTAGAAGTGAAACAAGAAATAACTATGTATTACATTTGACAT